AAAGACTTGCAACCGTACAATAGAAACGGTCGCACGTCTTCATTCACACTGCACGATTCTCGTACGATCGCGGGATTTCCCGCGATTTTCGTACGAGAATCGTGCAGTGTATGGGCACCTTAAGGGGGAGCACAGAGCTGGAATAAAGCACTGGTGGGACTGGGTGAAGTGTTTGCTGATTAAGAGGATTTGCATGTTTTTCATTTGTTTATGGATACTGTATTTATATAACACTGATGGATAAAATTATTATTTATGATGTTATTGTGGTTTTCATTAAGGTTTTTTTTAATTTTATTAATAGCACTATGTCACTGGTATATACTTATTTAGTACGATTTGGTGATAAATTTACACAGCAGCTGGTGAAATAAAGTGATTTACTCTGTGTAATTAGTACAGATTCAATATTTATATATGAAGTTACAGGAAGGTAAGTGGGGTTAATTATGCAGCATAAAAGGCATTGGCGCTCCAGGCCCCTTGCTGCCAGAAATGTAATGACTGGGTCAAAGATTCTAGAGCTTATAGACAGGGTAGGGAATTTCATGGAGACTGGAAACAGAAACTTTCTAAAAGTGGGAAACAGAATGGAGGATTGTTTATTTTAGAAATCCATTACCAATTGGTATATCTCCCTTTATCAACAGGTCACAACGTTTTCCAAGGTTGTTCTCCCAGTAGTCGCTCTTCCAGTATACCATCACCTGCAAGATAACCTTCCGGTGCCACAAAACTGTTACACTCTCCTAAATGACAACTATATACAATCTATAAAACAGTGTGTGCCTTGATAAAGAGTCAACAGGTTCATACCCAGATACTTTTTATGTGCATAGTCCTGAATACATTTACAAACTCACTAGAAATACCCCGGTATAAAAACAAATACTAACATTTCAGGTCAGGATGGCTATTTTCAGTTAATAACGTTTGGTCTCCAGTGACTGAATGGTAACTGTTGGGGGACATTTCTATAATAATGTGGACACATACAGGTACTTGAAGCCTTTTCAGACAGGATTCCTCACCCAGTAGCAAAGATGTTCCTTGTGTCAAGACATCACATTTGCTCATCAGATGAAGCACTGGTGGTGAATGAAGGTCTATAATTTCAATAAATGCTACTCTATAGATACTGGCTTGTGGATCATGATTACTTGCAATGCCAACACATTAGGATGAGGAGAAATGTATTCACAGAGAAGACTCAGATCTGTACCTGGTGGTTGTGAAGGTAAGTGAGAAAAACATATGCAGAAAGAAGTTGGTATCAGACAGCTCAAGTTTGACCTATTTTACCAACTCCATTTGAAGAAATGCAGCCCCAAACCTCGTGAAAACCTCAATCATGCTTCATGTTGACTGCAGATATTCATCTATTTGCCAACCATTCATTCAATAAACGGCTTTCGATTAGAACCAAATATTTTTTACATTTTGACTCTACATGAAGATAGGAGGGGGTGCAGAAAAATAGAGACAAGTTATTTCACTTTTTTTTTCCTCCACCTTGGAGGATTGGCTTTTTGGTATCAAGTCTTCTGTAAATACCATTTCTGATAAGTCATTATCTGGGTTATACATGGCATGTAACAGCGCCTTCATGTATTTATTATCTGCTGAACAAAGCTTCCAGTGCAGAAGAACAAAGGACGGTGCATCTAGAAACACCAGTCTGCCTGGGAGAAATTACAGCATGACCACCTTAAGTTTTGTTACTATGCTCACTTTTGCTATGGTAAGAGATGTAAAGGTTAAACTAAAATATCAAATGTTTAAGTTCATGGTTACTCTGATGTTGTAAGATTTAACCCTAGACTTATTTTTTTCACCCACTTCATTGATTTACAGTACCATATTTCTCCTGGGGTACATCATACACTTACAAACATTTTTGTACCTCTGTATATATTTGGGCTACTCCTGTATAAAGCTGTCAAATAATTTAACCAATTATAGATGAGTTCAGGTTCAGACTGACACAGAAGGAAGCCATTAGTGTTGGCCTAATCAGCTGCACCATTTCACACCCTCCCCCCCACCCCCCACAGCTGCATGTAAACCAAGGGGCGGGATGCTGGTGGCATTATTGACATGGTGCAGAACCTATGATCATCCTTATAAAAACAAAATTGAAACTCATATTCAGATATCACACAAACTCTCATACAAATGTATCTTTTGTTTTCCCCTCTACACATATAAAACAGAATAATGGCAGAGAAAGACCAAGTGGTCCATCAAGTCTGCCAACTGCTTGGATATTTGTCAGGTTAACTTTAAAAATCACTGGGGGAATTTATCAAAAATAGAGCAGACAAAATTTGGAGCAGCTGTGCATGACAACCAATCGGCTTTTCTCTTCATTCTGTTCAGTTAAGATTTGAAAATGAAAGAGATGCTGATTGGCTTCCATGCACAGCTGCTCCAGATTTTGTCTGCTCCAGTTTTGATAAATTCCCTCCTTTGCATTTTCCTAGATTCCAGAAATTCTGAGACCATGAAAAACATATTCAAACCATGAACCTTAAGTTATGCAATATTCAACCAAGAAGGAAGATGACTATAACAATTAATCACTAGCAGAGTACAAGTATTTGATTTAGTGAAACTTTGGTATTCTATTGATCGGAAAAAAACAAAACAGTAAGTGCAAATCTTACAAACATATTGATGCATTTAAATATATGCTGTATTCAGAACAATATTTTTTAGTTTGGTAAATTTTGAATTACCATTAGTAGATCAACCGGGTGTATATTTTAAACTTTTTAATATAGGGTAGTTGTCCATGGTATAATCCATTTATAGTCCATTTATTACATATATTTTGTTTTATGGCTTAACACATTCTCGTAAATAAAAAACAAATGAAAATGGCATGGGCATTTTTTGGTAAGACATTACATATTAGATTTTAGGGATCTTCCAAGCAGACAATTCACATTAGTTTTACACGTGCCTTCAAATGCATAATTAGTCACTCCGCCTATCTAAAAATTACTTAAGAAAACATTTTGTGCCATTTTTTGCAACCTAGTGAACCCAGACAAGAGAAAGAAAAGCAGAGAGTTGTTTGAGAAAAAAAGAAGGCAAGCATGGTAAAGACTCAAGAAGATCCATGGGACCATACCCAACTTCCTTGGACATGCAGTAGGTGTAATAGGAAAATGAACTCCAGATTGAACAAACTGATACGTTGAAAAATGGAGAAAGAACCAAGAAAAGTTTAAAAGGCAGATTATGGCTGACCTCCCAGGTTAGGGAACAACAATATTAAATCACACCATCCATCACTATATAAATGAGAAAGGCTTTAATGCTTGAAGACCCAGAAAGTACCCAGTTCTGAAAAACAGACATAAGCTAGACTGGATTTGCTAAATTGCAGGTTTACATGCCACAGTCCTTTCAGTAAAATAACCTTTGGACAGCTCTGTGATCACTAAAAAAATCAATGTGCTTAAAGAAAATAACACAATTCCTACTGTGACACATAGCGGTAGCTCCTGTACATGAAGAGGCTAATTTGCTGCCTCTGACACCCGATGCCTTAAAAAGGAGAACTATGGGGGTTAGGGCTTTTCTCCATAGTTCTCCTTAGGGTAACGGGAGGACACAAACTAGCGTCCTCCCGTCACCCTAAGCTCAGTAAACCGCGAGCTATAGCTCGCGGTATACTGAGACGTCACAGCTGAAGCGGATCCCAACAATTATGTCTGGATCCGCCCAGCTGCATGAGTGACAGCTGGCTCAGCCTATCTAGAGGCAGAGCCAGCTGTACCCTCCTCCATCCGTTCCGCCAGTCAGTGCTGGAGGATCGGAGCGGGGAATCCAGACCCTCCCCTGTCAGGGCAGAGAGCCGTGATAGGATCGAGAAGTGAGCAAACTTCCCGATATACTGAGCCGACCTGTGACAGTCTCATTGTCACAGGTCGTTATTGCATAACAAGGGTGTGGTATGAAATATTAGGTTAGTGATAGAAATGTCCATGCCCTTCTAATTTGTTTTATTACTTACCCCCAGCTCAAAACCGGGTGCAGTAGATCTAACTAATGTGGCTCAGTTTCAGTCAAGTGATAAACTGATTTGAGGGGAAAAAAGCACTTATCCCAGTCTCTACATCAGGTGTTAACTTACTACATTCATTCTAAAAAAACCCCCAAAAAAACATATATCCTAAGCCAAATAAAAAAAGTGACAATTTTAGAGCATTAGAAGCAAAACACTGGCTGAAATAAGCAAGCAAGTACAAGAACAAAAACATAAAATGCACAACTTAAAAAACCTTTTATGCCAAATAAGAAAAATATAATTTGTGTGTGTGTGAAGATAATGGGACATCAGTACTAAACATCATCTAAATAAGGAAAAACACTTTTGTCTGCAGTCAGTCATACTTTATTACAACACTGTGGGCATTGATGACAGTTGCCTTGCAGCTTACAATCTTAATTTCCCGAGTGGTGTTTGGAGGGAGCAACAATTGCAGATCATTTGAACTGGCTCAGGTTAACATTGTTGGCTGATGGCTACAAACCCATTATGATGTAGATCCATATCAACAAGCTTAAAGTACACCTGGTTAGAATTCTGCACTGACTTCACAATTAAATGCACTTATTTTTAACATCTTCATAAAGCGCCGCTGGGAACTCCCAAACTGAGGATGCAGTAAAAATTCCAACACTTCCTAGAAATGGCAAGAAATGTCTTTTACTCCAACAAAGTTTAGAAATCTGGTTTTGGTGCTCATTGGGTGCTCTTGCAGATGCTTGAAGTTAAGTGCAATCACAACATGATAACAGCATTTTAGTCATAGAATCTATTTCGATGTGTGGCATAATTAAAGGCATACTTCAACTTACCAACCAGTGAGTTCTGTGAAATAGAATCTTTAATTTCTGAGAGTCCATAAAACACAGATGAGTAAATGGTGCTAACCGAAGGGCATGACCACCTGTATAATTATGCACAGACAAAGAAAGGTTGGGGAGAAAGGGAAACACCAATATACTTTATGTTTATTCTTCAGCAACAGCAGAAAGACCAAATGCCCATACTGGTCCAGTCCTTTATGCTACCTTGCGGTAAGTGAGATTTAATTGATCCTTCTAACACGTGGTTATGAGGAGTAAAACATGAGGTAATGTTTAAAAAAACATTTGTCCCATAAAAGAATGTCAGTAGCCACTGTTCACACATATCTAAGAGGAAGACGGGCTGTGGTGTGGTCACTCGGTACTTTCTGCCCAAATTCCCTGAAAAAAAAAAAAATTACAATCTCCTTAACTTTCAGGTGCAGCTCATTGATGCTGGTCCTCATTGCTTGTACTTGGAGTTCGGCTTCTTATCTGACTGCGCAACTGTTCTATCAACTCTGGGTTTTGTTGTTGCATTTGTTGAGCAAACTGTTGTCCTCTAAAACACAAATGCACATATCAAAAACAAATCACAGTAGGAAACTCTTAAAAACAATTCACACTTTAAGGCTCCATTCACATGAGCGGTTTTCCGCGCGTATAAAAGCGTAAGACATAAAAACAATGCATTCCAATGTGCAACTTGGGCGGCATCCGTACGGTACGAAAACGTACGTCCCACAAAGAAGTCAGCGCACGATTTTACAGGTGGAATATGCACGTTGCGGCTATTATACGCGGAATCCACGCGTATGTTATGATGTGCGTTTTCATGCCACAGAGAACACACAAACGCCATATGTGAATGAAGCCTAAAACTAAAGTCCACTTTAACCCCTTCGTGACTGACGACGTACAGTGTACGTCGCCAGCATCGGGGCTGTTTAAACAGACTCGGCTATTGCCGCCGGGAGTCTGTTTAAACTTGTAGAGCCGACTGTTGGCTTTACAACAGAAGCGATACTGGCGACTTACCTGTCGCCAGATCGCTTCTGTGTCCCGTAGAAGGGTACGCCCCCCCGCCAGACACCGCCGCTGTGCTTCCCGGGCTCCGTTGCCCCTCCTACGGGACCGGCGTCCTTGGGGAGGAGGACGACGAAATTCTGTTCATCGATCCCCTCCCCGTTCTATGGGACCGGGAGCGATGCAGATTGCATCACTTACAGTCCCTGGAATCTAATATTTAAAAAAAAAAACATAAAAAAAAAACATTTTAAAAGTCCCCCGCGAGCCACGTAAACACGCGTCGGGTGCGCCTACGTATGAAAACAACGAACGCGCTACACATGTTGGGTATCGCCGCGCACGCCGGAGTGAGAGCAATAATTCTAGGGCATCTCTAAATTGATGACCTGTGGGGGCTTTTAAAGCGTCTTCTATGGGTTTTTTGGGGGTACTGCAGTTTTTTGCCGTTTCACGGACGCATGCAATTTGTAACCTGGGCATGTTGGGTATTGTTTTACTCGTTGTAACCTCATCTTTTATATTTCATTAAAAAAATGGGTATTTTGTTGTGTTTTGGGGCTTTTAATTAAATTTTTCACTAAATGTTGGGGTTTAATAAGGAGTTGCGCTAATATTGCGCAACATAAAAATTAGCAACTACCACCATTTTATTCTATAGTGTCTTGGCATTCAGAAAATATATAATGTTTGGGGGTTTTAAGTCATTTTCAGGCCTAAAATGTGGAATATAACATGGGTGCAAAAAATGAAAAAAAAGGCCTCAGTCATGAAGGGGTTAAACTTTGTAGTTTGTTTTGTATAGAGCGGTAAAGGGGTTAGTGGCAAGAATCAGACTATTATTGTTGTCTGTGACCTAATTGGGAAGATTTCCACTCATTTATTATTTATATATACTTATTCTGGCTATAGTGCAAAGCACAAAAAGCATGAAAGAAAGTAATAGAAAATGTCTCCAATGAGGGAGAGAGAAAGGTTGGAAACTAAGATTTTTACTTTTGTCTGTGCCTTTACTTTTGTCTGTGCCTTTGTCTCTCATTTTTGGTTCTGGTGTTAAAAAGATGTTAGGATCCCCACTGGGGTCAAATACTGCAATAACACCTTTCATTAAAAAAAAAAGGCTGCAGATGGGCATTACATTCTGATTTCACTGGAAACCCATAAAAAAAAAAAACTTTAAGAAACATGAGATGCAAGCAGAGAGTGGCGTACAACAGAAGCAGTCATGCCCGTTTGAACAAAATCGGATCATTCAAACTGCACGTTTTCCTGCAGGTTGCCCGCTAAGCAAAGCTCCACTATGTACAGTGTGGAAAATAATTATTTAATTCCCCTGCAGATTTTGTAAGTTTGCCCACTTACAAAGAAATGAAAGGTCTATCATTTTTATCATAGGTGTATTTTAAAATGATAGACAGAATATCAACCAAAAATCCGGAAAAAACACAATACAAATGTTATAAATTGAGTTGCAGTTCAGGGAGTAAAATAAAAAAGGTTCCCATACACCTTACAATTATCTGCAGATTTTCTGTGGTCAGATGGAAAAAGTGCAACAGATTAGCCCAGGTGGAGATTACTCCATCCATACAGTTAAGTGTAGATGGAGGAATCTGTTGCACCTTTTCCATCTGACCACAGAAAATTTGCATATAATTGTAAGGTGAATGGCCAGCTTAAGTATTTGATCCCCAAGCAAAACATGACTTAGTACTTAGTGCAGAAACCCTTGTTGGCAAGCAGAGGTAAGACGTTTCTTCTAGTTGGTTACCAGATTTGCACACATCTCAGGAGTGATTTTGGTCCACTCTTCTTGACAGATCTTCTCTAAATCCTTAAGGTTTCTTGGCTGTTGCTTGGCAACTCGAAGTTTCAGCTCCCTCCATACATTTTCTATAGGATTAAGGTCTGGAGACTGGCTAGGCCACTGCATGACCTTATTGTGCTTCTTCTTGAGCCACTGCTTTGTTACCTTGACGGTATGTTTTGGGTCATCGTCATGCTGAAAGACCCATCCACAACCCATATACTGTGTTCTGGCTGAGGGAAGGAGGTTCTCATCCAAAATTTTACAATACATGGCCCCATCCATTGGCCCCTCAATGCGGCAAAGTCGGCCTGTACCTTTAGCAGAGAAACAGCCCCAAAGCATAATGTTTCCACCTCCGTGCTTGACTGTAAGGATGGTGTTCTTAGGGTCATAGTCAGCATTTTTCTTCCTCCAACAAGGCGAGTCGAGTTAATGCCAAAGAGCTCAATTTTGGTCTCATCTGATCACAGCACTTTCTCCCAAACCTTCTCTGGATCATTTAGATGTTCATTGGCAAACTTCAGACAGGCCTGTACATGTGCCTTCTTGAGGGGGACCTTGCAGGTGCTGCAGACTCTCTATCCATGGCGATGTATTGTGTTACCAATGGTTTGTTTGGTGACTGTGGTCCCAATTGACTTGAGACAATTCACAAGCTCCTCCCGTGTAGTTATGGGCTGATCCCTCACTTTTCTCATGATCATCCTTACCCCATGAGAGAAAATCTTGCATGGAGCTCCAGACCGAGGGTGATTGATGGTTATTTTGAATTCCTTCCATTTGCGAATAATCGCTCCAACACTAATTTCCTTCTCACCAAGCTTGCTGATAGTCTTGTAGCCCATTCCAGCTTTGTGCAGGTCTACAATCTTGTCCCTAACGTCCTTTGACAGCTCTTTGATCTTGCCCATGGTGGGGAGGTTTGAATGGAAGAAAGAGATTTTGTGGACAGGTCTTTTATATACACAAGTTGTTGCTAGGAGAACCTTCTTAAAATTGACAGGACTATTCTGTGTACCACAATCGCCAGTCTGTGGGAGCCAGAATTATTGTTGGTTGGTAGGGGATCAAATACTTATTTTACTCATTGAACTGCAACTCATTTTTTAACATTTGTATCATGTGTTTTTTCTGGATTTTTGGTTGATATTCTGTCTCTATCATTTAAAATATACCTATGATACAAATGATAGACCTTTCATTTCTTTAGCAGTGGGCAAATTTACAAAATCTGCCGGGGATCAAATAATTATTGTCCTCACTGTACAAGTCACTTGTTGGGCCTGCTATCTTGGTGGGTCTTAAGCAAATGCCCCTTTAATAAAATGGCCTTCACTATGGGGGGCTAACTAGAAAAGATCTAAACCTAAGTTATGCATTTATGCACCAACTTGGGAAAGTAAAATTTAGCTATTTTCTGCTCTTTAATGGAAACAATATAAAGTAAATAAATGAATAAAATTGAATGGTACATACGCTTGTATAAGACTTGCCAGATCTGTGGGAGGAGGGTTTGCAGTTGCTGCTCCAGCTGCCATAGGATTACCAGGGGTAGTTATCATTCCAGACATTCTGAGGAGAAAAAGTGACAGCTGAATGAAATCCCAAGAAGGAAATCTGTTGTAAAGCCAAAATACATGTGGGAAAAACATCAGGTGGAAATGACTTGCAAGCTGTGCTCTAGTTTCACTAAGGGCTTGTTTACACCAAATCCGGACCAGATCTGCATGAGTTTCTGCACATGCAGTGCAGTGTGTTTTGCCACGTTTTTTTAGCCTAAAAAGGGCTTTTAGTGCGTTCCAGGGTGTTTGCTTGCGCTTTGATGCGTTCCAGAGCAGAAAAAAAATAAGGCATGCTGCAGTTTTCCCACATGCTCTGGAACTGAACGCTGTGGTGTGAACTAGAGCCCAAAACACCATTCGAAGCATTTTTTATGCGTTCTGTAACTGCTCTGCATCTGCTACACACTTGGTGTGAACAAGCCCAAAAGGGAACTTGTGAAAATGGAAATATGGAAGCAGATACATTCCTTAAAGAACTTGGCAAAACCTTTATTAACCCTTGCAGTGGGGCTACCCCCTTCAATGCAAGGGTTAACTGCTAATTTTTGTCTCTGCTGCAGCGGTCTAAGGTCCCATAAATTATCGCATCCTATAAACAGTGTATAGACATGACGACGCTAAGGAACATTCCAATGCTGCAGCGTAGGAAGAGACAGGTTTCAGTATCCAGAGAAGCAGAGAGCCAGTTCAGAAGTTCGGGTGAGAATAACTCTTTTTTTAGCACAGACAAAAATTAGCAGTTAACCCTTGCAGTGCAGTTCTTCTTTAACCCCTTCGAGACTGACAACGTACAGTGTACGTCGCCAGCATCGGGGCTGTTTAAACAGACTCCCGGTGACTTTTGCCGCCGGGACTCTGTTTAAACTTGTAGAGCCGACTGTCGGCTTTACAACAGAAGCGATCCTGGCGACTTACCTGTCGCCAGATAGCTTCTGCGTCCCGAAGAAGGGGCCGCCCCCCCGCCGTGCTTCCCCGGCTCTGTTGCACCTCCTACGGGCCCGGGACCGGCGATCTTGGTGTCCGCGGGGAGCTGGGGAGGAGGTCGACGAACTTCCGTTCATCGATCCCCTCCCCGTTCTATGGGACCGGGAGCGAAGCAGATTGCATCACTTCCGGTCCCTGGGCTGTCAGTTCTGGGCTCCTGGAGCCCAGCTATAAGCTATTTTAGTGCGATCTGCACTTCAATAGCTTATTTCCAGTGTAAAGGTGACACTGGGGGTCTTTTGGACCCCCAGCATCACCTTAAAGAGTACCTGTCACCACCATCTGCTATCACATGGGGGGGCTTGTAAGCCCCCCCATGTGATAGCAGTCAAAGTAAAGTAAAAAAAAAAAAGTTTTTTAAATTAAATTTAAATAAAATAAATCTAATAATAATAAAAAAAAATGTAAAAGTACCCCGCCCCCGCGAGCACGCGCGTCGCCACGTAAACACGCGTCGGGTGCGCCTACGCATGAAAACGACGAACGCGCTACACATGTTGGGTATCGCCGCGCACGCCGGAGTGAGAGCAATAATTCTAGGGCCAGTATTTTGGGGTATCTCTAAATTGATGACCTGTTGGGGCTTTTAAAGCATCTTCTATGGACTTTTTGGGGTACTGGGGTTTTTCGCCGTTTTACGGATGCACGCAATTTGTAACCTGGGCATGTTGGGTATCGTTTTACTCGTTGTAACCTCATCTTTTATATTTCATTAAAAAAATGGGTATTTTGTTTTGTTTTGGGGCATTTAATTAAATTTTTCACTAAATATTGGGGTTTAATAAGGAGTTGCGCTAATATTGCGCAACATAAAAATTTGCAACTACCACCATTTTATTCTATAGGGTCTTGGCATTCAGAAAATATATAATGTTGGGGGGTTTTAAGTAATTTTCAGGCCTAAAATGTGGAATATAACATGGGTACAAAAAAAATGAAAAAAAGGCCTCAGTCATGAAGGGGTTAATCTCGCCACCAGTTATCCTTGGAAAATCTGTCTCAAATAAAGAAAACCTTCCTCCTCTTTTGTTCATCAATTGCACAAAATATTTCATCAGTCCAAGTTTTATCTGAAGCGGAGGCAAAAATATATATCTTTGTTGGGTCAACAAGTGGTTTATGTGCCACATTTTTGTGTCCAGGAACCAAATTATTTCACAGTGGCCATTCTTTTTTAATGTAATGCTATTTTTGCACGGCTCAGAAATAAATCCCATCATAATCCTTACCGAAATCCCATTCACAATGCTTTAGCGGGTGCTGAAGTAGCAGCGGATGGCACCGCACAGAATAATATGTAGAAGGATAAGCCACCAGCACACAGACCGGGTACACTTTATCTTCCTTTTTTTCTTTGCCCAATAAAGGGACCAAATACAGTTCCAAAATGTTGCATCTATACCATGTTTATCTGACCGTAATAAATTACAGGAAGATGAAGTGGACCCTGGTGTGCTGGTGGCTTATCCTTCTACATGTTTTTTGCACGGCTGTCCATTTGCAGATGAAGCAGTACTTGATGTATATCCATGCTGCAATCCAAGCATCAGAACCACTACTTTTAGATCTACACAGATATTCCAGTTGTACCTGGTGGATTGGATGTGCTTCAACAACTGTTCTATGTTTTCACATTTCCTTCACGTGTGCAGCATAGCCAACATGTTGCCATTGTGCAAGGAGACAGCCTCGAGGCTTAAATATTGATGAATCAATAGATAAGTCATTCTAGTGGGTCATACTCACAACCCAAAGCCATGAACAAAGCATCAATGTCAGTACGGAAAAGGAGGTTGCAAAGAAACTTTTTAAATAATCTTGGCAGCTTCGAAAGAGATATTTTCGTACTTGCTGATAACATACACCATCCTTGCAGCCTTGAACCCAGTAGTTCTGCTTTTGACAAACCCGAGTCTCTGACCAGGTCGTTTTAAAAACCCCTTGATGCCTAAATTAATTTTCAATTATATAAAAAAATATACGATATGTGTTTTGGCTATCAGATACGAAAGAAGGTGGAGATTGTTAATTTGAATATAGCACATACTATGGAGAAAAATATAGGTATGATGCAAATTAGCGACATTAGGCATTTAAGTAATAAAATTAAAGTTATTGACCAGTACCTGCAGTAAACAATTAAAATGACAAAAATGATTAAAAAAAAAAAATCAAAAAAAAATCAATAGAATGTCATAAAATCAACAAAAAGTCACATGGGAAGAAATATTTTTACTCTTGGAGTTGTCAAAAGCAGTTTTTTATCTTGAGGCACAGGTGAACATTGCACTTCAAACATTTGGTTACACTCTGGCCCTTACAATTTGGGTGTTTGCAGCGTTGCCGTACACGTTCAACCACTGGCCAGTGGCCCGCGGTATCTGAACAGACTTACACTAGTGGAACCTCGATTTATAAAAAAAATGCTGAAATATCAACTTTGCACGTATTACTTTTTATGTAATCAAGCAGATTACACATACATATAATATTGTTGATACGCAGCTGTAACTGCCTAATGTCGCAAAAAAGCGACAAAGCGAAATCTGCACATAACTGCGAAATTTTTCGTCACATGGAGTTGACCCCAATTTATAAGCCTTAGCAGCAAACAATAAGCTGTTGTATATTTTTATTTTACAAAAATAACCTAAAATTTACAGAAATGTTCTCAAAATTAGCAGTCAGCAGCCATGTGCCTGACTGCGCTGAGGCTTTGCGTACTTTAAGCAGTTGTAGCCAACTATACTACCGCGACAGGGCGCGATCAGTGCTCCCAAAACAATCTTTGGTACATATTGAATACAAATAAACCAGCATTTGTGGAATAAACACACCACCTTGGCTGCAGTCAGGCCGGAAGGGGTTTGAGAAAAAAAAAAACCGCGACAACCTTCATCAAGGGGTTAATCCTGTTATGAGATGAGGCTTGCCAGATACACGATTCAAAATCTGGATCATTGTCACTGTCTGTACCTGGTTGGTGCATTGCAGCATGTTCATCCGTTTCATCAAAGTTCTGTTTATGTGGTGGCTTGTGGATTGTCACAAATGCACACTGCTACAAGCAACTATGTGACTTATTTCAGTGGTAAGAGGGTTGGAAAATCCCTGTCTTCACTAGACCGGGAAATAATGATTAAAAGGTCCTGGTTAAACACCCACTTCATCTAATCTTAAGAACGTGCCACCAAACCAAACCTGGTTAAACATTTAATTTCAAATTTAGTATATAATCTCCAGGGTAACTTTTAGAGACACCTGAAACTTAAATTTAGCTTAACGCGTACAGAATTACTAAAAGAACCTCCTCAGGAACATATGTGGTTCTTATACCCGACAAAGGCAGGAACTTAATAAATGAATGATTTACTATGAAGGGAAAAAAAGTATTCACAGTGCATATACAGGTGAAACTCTAATAATTAGAATATCGTGCAAAAGTTCATTTTTTTCACTAATGCAACTTAAAAAGGTGAAACTAATATATGAGATAGACTCATTACATGCAAAGCAAGATAGTTCAAGCCATGATTTGTCAAAGTGTCCCACTCTAATCAGCTAATTAAGCCATAACAGCTGCAAAGGGTTCCTGAGCCTTTAAATGGTCTCTCAGTCTGGTTCAGTAGGAATCACAATCATGGGAAAGACTGCTGACCTGACAGTTGTGCAGAAAACCATCATTGACACCCTCCATAAGGAGGGAAAGCCTCAAAAAGTAATTCCAAAAGAAGTTGGATGTTCCCAAAGTGCTGTATCAAAGCACATTAATATAAAGTCATGTGGAAGGAAAAAGTGTGGAAGAAAAAAGGTGCACAAGCAGCAGGGATGACCGCAGACTGGAGAGGATAGTCAGGAAAAGGCCATTCAAAAGTGTTGGGGACCTTTACGAGGAGTGGACTGAGGCTGGAGTCAGTGCATCAAGAGCCACCACACACAGACGGATCCTGGACATGGGCTTCAAATGTCGTATTCCTCTTGTCAAGCCACTCCTGAACAACAAACAACGTCAGAAGCGTCTTACCTGGGCTAAAGAAAAACAGACCTGGTCTGTTGCTCAGTGGTCCAAAGTCCTCTTTTCTGATGAGAGCAAATTTTGCATCTCATTTGGAAACCAAGGACCCAGAGTATGGAGGAAGAATGGAGAGGCACACACTGCAAGATGCTTGAAGTCCAGTGTGAAGTTTCCACAGTCTGTGTTGATTTGGGGAGCCATGTCATCTGCTGGTGTTGGTCCACTGTGCTTCATTAAGTCCAGGGTCAACGCAGCCGTCTACCAGGAGATTTTGGAGCACTTCATGCTTCCTTCCGCAGACGAGCTCTATGGGGATGCTGACTTCATTTTCCAGCAGGACTTGGCACCTGCCCACACTGCCAAAAGCACCAAAACCTGGTTCAATGACCGTGGGATTACTGTGCTTGATTGGCCAGCAAACTCGCCTGACCTGAACCCCATAGAGAATCTATGGGGCATTGCCAAGAGAAAGATGAGAGACATGAGACCGAACAATGCAGAAGAGCTGAAGGCCGCTATTGAAGCATCCTGGTCTTCCATAACACCTCAGCAGTGCCACAGGGTGGTAGCTTCCATGCCACGCCGCATTGAGGCAGTAATTGCTGCAAAAGGGGCCCAAACCAAGTACTGAGTACATATGCATGCTTATACTTTTCAGAGGTCCGATATTGTTCTATGTACAATCCTTGTTTTATTGATTGCATGTAATATTCTAATTTTCTGAGATTGTGGGCTTTGGGTTTTCATGAGCTGTAAGCCATAATCATCACAATTATGACAAATCACGGCTTGAATTATCTTGCTTTGCATGTAATGAGTCTATCTCATATATTAGTTTCACCTTTTAAGTTGCATTAGTGAAATAAATGAACTTTTGCACCATATTCTAATTATTCGAGTTTCACCTGTATTTACAATTAGATGTTACATAAGACAGTTAAACAAAACAAACAGATGGAAAATAAAAAGGAGAACATTTATAGAAATCCTACTTACAGAAGCACTTGATTCTATCCCAGGGAGCTTCCAGCAAGGAAAATGGCAACTTACTACAAAATTAGATTTTGGTCCCAAGTAAGCAGACCTTGGTCACCGTTGCAACATATTTTAAAACTGTGGGCCACATCTCAGGTTGCAGTCCAGCCTCAGGGATGAACGGAGTTGAAGGAGCAGGTGTATTTAAGAAATATGGACCTGAAGCCCCACCTATTTCACACTTGGCAGGGGAGTTTTTCAATGGACAGTACGCATATAATGACAAAAAGGTTAATATTTCAGGGTATGAGTGAACAGATATGGGATTTTAGATTCATACACAGCAGAATTGCCTCTTTCCATAGACATCTTACATGGGTAGGCTGGGACCTTCCATAACCGACTTTTGTCTTGCCTGGTGTCATTCTGGGAGTAACGGGGGTATATACACTAGGACCACCAGATGGTAATCCCTGGATCCAAAGTTAATCTTTTAAATATAACCTTTAATATAAAAAGGCTGGGTTTGTGCCTCTTTTGTTGGGAGTTTCTTAGAAGGCTCAATTCTTGGTGCCTCCCTGGTTGGGAGAGGTGTGAAATACACCACCTGGGAAAGGTTCAGGCAAAAGGAGTGTTACATAAATCTCATTTACACTTTAAACTATCAGAGTCATCTCTCACGGTAACCCAGTTAACCCTTGCAACTCCATCTTGCCACCTTTGCTGGAAGGTTAAGTTACATGCCTACTACCCCGAGTCACACCGATTAACAACATATTTACAATAAATCATAGTATCGAGTTCATAGGACCTGACACTGATACTGTCATCATGTGGCACTGGTCTCATGGATGAAGGCAGATTGGAGTACTCAATTACTTCTTATTTTTAGCAGAGAACCAGAGATAGTCAGAAGTAACAGTCCTTTACGTAATCCTTATTTTCTCATCATATCATTGAGACAGTAAATGGCAACGACTTCTGAGTTTCTCTGAGCCAAGCTTCCAGATGGACAGCACATCTTGCACAACAAATGTGAGGAGCCAATGCCTTTTCCTGATCACCAATCTTACAACCAAAGTACAGATCATACGCTTTAAAGTGACATTAAAGCCAAAAAAAATTTCCCCTCCCCCCATGTAAATATCTCTTATCTCAAATGATGTCTCTTATTCTGATCTTCCTCTTCTTTCCCCATGTTTTCATGTGTCCCTCCAGCGTTGTGACATCACTCCGATCCAGCGCCGACTGCTCTGTCTCTCCGATCCAGCGGTGTCTGCAGGCGGGTGCACGCGTCCATAGACTTACTTTGCGTCTCTGCTAGTCTCCCAGGCCGAGAATCGGAACTGCGCATGCGCCCGCCCCAAGATCCTTTGCGGCCGTACGATCACTTCCTGATTCTCGGCGCAAGATCGAGCAGCGATAACGAGGTAAGTTTAAAACCAGTTCAAGCGGGGGGTTTTTTTTTTTAAACTTCTTGCCTATATCTACTGCTTGATAGCAGTAGATATAGGCAAAAAAACAGAGGGTTTAGAACCCCTTTAACAAGTCCAGTCATAGTGCATCTTAAGTGCTAAAAATTTATCAGAATGTGTCATGACTGTTTCGACATTGGCGAGACACTGCTGATGTCACCAACCGTACTACAACAGCAAGTCTGTACCTGTGTTAGGCCTAGCAGTTGCATTGCAAGCTGCCTTTGGCCCTTACAGTGGCATACACGAAGCCTAACGGCTAGTTCCCCCCCAGATGCGCAGTCCGTTCAGTCTGGCAAAAAATAAATATCGCAATAAAAACACGGCAAAACACTGCAGCTGCGCAGATGCACGCAGTTCTGATGCAGTTATGGTGTAAACTACCCCCAGGTATTCCCAGGTTGACATTGCATCACATGCAAAATACAGGTGTGAATATAGCTTAAAAAGCAGAACTCGTATTAGATTCTGCATGATAGGGGATGAGTGGGAAGATAGCTCAGAGGCACTCAGTGCAATCACAAATATAGCCACACAATGTAAGCAGGGGGGGAACATAAAAAACCAAAACAAAAAACTTACAACTGTTGTACTTGTGGGTTATTCATGAGGTTTGATGCCTGGAAAATAAACAAAGACTGTTATTACCTCCACAATAAAGACCATCCCCACACCCGGGTAAAAAACATTTTATCATAAGTGTCAATGCCTCCACCACATATTGCACCTCAGCAGTGTACACATTCCAACATACTCTCCACAACTGGATTGCAAATATTTGCCCAGTATGTGAACTAGCTGCTGACCCAGCTCCTCTATTACATTCTCTGACATTCCCCTGGTCCACATTATGTTCTCTGGAAGCTACTTCCCTAGCGAAACCGCCCCCCATGATTTTGCTGCCAACCCCTATATCTTCTAGTATCCTCTCCCACACATACTGGCCACAATTATATCCTCTGATTCATGTAATGGCCGCTGCTATAACCTCCCCATTGCTCTCCAGCACATACGGTCACACCCTTCTCAGTCCACTGTCACAACCTCTGCACTCCAATTGTACATACATAATGGACACGTTAATATATTTCCAACACTTTCCATTTGGAAACAAGCAAACAAAGTGTGCCTGTTCGCCCTTGATGCGGTGAAAGCACAAAGTAAAAAAATAAATTGCTTAGTGGTATTTATATGGCAAATATATGATTAGTGGTATGCATTATTTTAGGAATGACACAATATACAGAAGGTAGTGGTATAGTGCAGAGTGTACAAAATATAGTAATGTTGAGTATATAACATAAGGCACAGTATATAGAAAACTGCAGTTTAAAGTATGCAACCTACAGTGCAGTACCATTGGGTGCAGCGGTCTACACAGCATGTAACGTACAGTGAAGCATGCTGAGTGTAGAGGTTCATCAACAGTACAGAGCAGCATATGGAGTGTGGCAGACAAGAATATGGAATGTACCGCACAGCGTAGGAGTGTGGCCAGAGTATTTCCTGTGCAACTTAGAACTGTGAATTGGATTGTGGTGGTCAAAAGTATGCAACACAGCCAGCTTGTCACATACAGGTCCAGAGCTTGTAATGTACATTGCAGCATATAGAGTGTGTTGTTCCTTATGCTTTGTACAATTTAGTATCAATGAGTTTGGCAATTGTGCTTCCCTCTCCAGTCCATTGCTCATCATTTTCACCCACACCACTGCTCACATAGATTGTATTCTCTGCATCTTATTTTAGATGCCCTCCACAAGTTACACTGTACATGTCAAGTAGAGATGTGTTCAGGTTTTGACCAAACCTGGTCCGAACCCGAGCTCCTCTGAATATGGAAGAAAGCTCCTTCCACTGCCACCAGGGGAATTCCCTCTTGCAGCGGCACGTAAGCAGAGGGGCGGGATGCAGTCAAATTATTGACCTTTTAGGGCCACATGGCTATTGGTTAATGACATTTGGCCCACACTCCACTGTCTTGGTCTCTTAATGACAGTCCCTGCTATTAACCTGTCTTTTCTAACCTACATTGCTTCCAATTCCATTGACACAGTTCGCCTGTTTTAGTTTTATTATTCTTCCCACCACCTTCATAGTTTGAGATGCTGCTGTTTTGGAATATCCTGTCTGTATGGCCTCACACACACACAAAAATCATTTTGTTTTATATACCAGAAATACATCAACCTAGAGATACAGGTTACATAAAAATAAACGCATTCAAGAATTTTACAAAGAACACACAAATGGTATTTGAATTGGGAATCAGTAAAGGTAAGCATAAACGTTCCTTTAATTTGCTTAAATAATTTCAGTGCTGTTGTGTGTTGGTTCCATTGTTAACCACAGGGGTAACCTTGTGTGCTGGCATATGCATATGGTAGGGAGCCGACAGTCCGGAGATGCGATCCCAGTATACCCAGTTTTCATGATATACAAAATGTATGCAAAGGATGAAGGCACCGTGTGTGTGATGAAAATGAATCCTGTTGAGGATCTGTACGGTAGAGATACATGGAGTGATGTGTACGAGATGAAGGCTTGCAGGAAATCAAGCGATGATGACAGGAAAAAAAAAGTGAGGATTAGAGGAAAAAGGAGAAAGTGATGTAATAGAGAAATTTTTGCACATCTATGTGGGGGGGGGGGGGGGGTGTGGACGGTTAGCACTGGTGGCTGGCAGGTGAAGATGCGCAATTGATAGCAGGATGACATAAGACATGTCTGACATGGTCAGAAAAAGAGAGTCCGAAGCTAACTGCCTCACTTGTTCGTTATGACAGCAGTTCTTTGTACTTAGTTACATAGTATTTGAGGTTGAATAAAGACACGGGTCCATCAAGTTCAACCTTTGTGTGTTTGTGCGTACTTGTGTATACGTGTCCCTGTGTGGTCTAGTTTTTAAGAGTACTTGGCAAAGCGTATGAAATCTATCCAAATAAAATTAGGTTTCCCTAAATTTCCCATCAGTGTTGTGAATGGTGGCTATAAAGTCCATCATGAGCATTACACAAATATTCTGAGGTAAACACTGCGCTGTACATATTTACCATTTTTCTGATATACATTACTGACCCAATATACTGCCCCAAGCATTATGTAATCTATGCTGCTCCAATATACATTAAACTGCATGTTATGAAGGGTTTTGATAGTGTCCTTTTAAAATAAAAAGTAGCATTACATATTCAAATTAGCAGGAATAATAAAACAAATCAGCTCACTCACCATACTCATAAAGCTGGGATTGTTGAGCAGTCCAGCTAGATCAAACCCGCCAGGAGCAGCCATCTGTAGTAAATACATAAACTGTCAGTTATTTTCCCATAACCACAATTCTTCCAAGTCACATATCCGAAGTCGAGACACTTACTGGACTTGGTATTTCCTTCAATTTCTGTTCAGCAATCTTAAGGTTTGATTTGTATGTATCATTATCCGGATCCAGCTCCAGTGCTCTTTTGTAAAAGCTCACAGCTTCAGAGTGCTTGTTCAAACTTGAGAGTGCCAACCTGATAAGACAAGAAATACATTCTCAGTAGAGTAAAAAGTGAGTTGTGAGCAAGCCTTCCATAAAATAAGCTTTTAACTTGCTCTTACCCCATTCTGCCATAGGCTTTGCTGTAACTGGGGTCAATTGATATAGCCTCTTCACAGTCCCGCACAGCCCCAGCATAGTTTCCGATTTTACTGTAAGCTGCTGCCCTAACAATGCAAAAAAAAAAGAAGTTAGAAGTGAAATACATACTGGAAAAGCCACACTCCTCCGGCAGCTAAAGAACGTCATGAGCATGGATTAGCCATAAGACTGGAGGGACAATTTCCTTGCAAAGGCTGTGGCTCCCAGCAGTGAAGGGGGTTAACCAAAGGTTAGCTGTCCTAAAAAGGTATAGTGGTCCTTTCAGGGTATAAATATTCAAAGGACTATCCCAAGAAACATTTATAATGTACAAAGTCCCACCTCCCTTGGAGCAGGATAAGTATTTAATATAGCAGGCTGCACAAAGTTACAGAGTGAAGGCATCTGCTAGCATCAGGGAAATAAATAGCTATATGCTAGCAGAAGCCTTCACTCTAAACACTGAGCCTTCTATGCATATGCAGCCTTTAAAGCCGTTATGAAAGGAAACTGTTCTTAGCACTAGAAATCCGCTGCCTGCCTTATTAATTTGTCATCTTGTTTATGATATTAGACATTAGGCTATCATTTTGGATTCCTAGACCAGTGGTGTGACACTGTTATTACTTTCTTTACCAAGGCAGAAACAAGCAGACAGCTGTTCTTCCCTAAAAAATAAAATAAAATAATATCTATCTCGATATCGATCTATCTAGCTAGATACATATATCTATATTTTGTCTGTGTTGAGAAAAGAGGGCTAATTATGTTGGGGAAAGCCAGCCTCCCAATACTCCCTTAACTATAACTGGATCTCCTTAACTTTCCTGCAAGGTTTACCATTCAGGGGGAACTTGGAATTGATCACAAAAAGAGCTAGTTAACAAAAAACAAACAAAAAAAGGGTAATAGGACCCCGACCTAAAACCCCCATGGCAGCACTTTGACACAGAAAAACACTGAGGAGACAAAAGGAATGTGCAGTCATGGGGCGTAGTGGAAAATTGTTTCTCTTGACATCTTTGTTCCCAGTGGTGAGTTTTCTCATCACTTATCCCAGTCACTGGAACAGAAAGCAAGAAATCTCCTCAGTGTAGGCACAGACAGTAATTAAAACCCGACAGGTTCAGAAACACTTCGGCTCTATCCAAACTAGGGCTGCAACAACTAATCGACATAATCGATTATAATCGATTATTGAAAAAGTTGTCAACTTTTTCAATAATCGATTAATCGGCAGTTTTTACATTTATTTTATTGTTTATCCGATTAATCGAACTTAATAATCGGCTAACTAATCGATTTTGAAAATAATCGTTAGCTGCAGCTCTAATCCAAACCAAAACAAGCTAGGGGAGATACCCTTGAAGATAATTGTCACGGGATGAGTTATTCCCATTGGATGACTTCACCTAACCTTCTGTTCCTGTGATAACTCAAACATGGGATTTGATGCTCGCCGATACCCAATACCGGAAGTCCCATTAAGGAAGCCAGGTGGCATGTAATGACTCGGCACCTGGCTTCTTGATTAACTGGGAAGTCGGGCGGCATGTAAAGACTCGCCAATTAGCTTTATGATAAACAGGGAAGCCATCTCCATGCTGCCTCGTCACCAGGGGACAAGGGAGCATGAAACCGGCTTTCTGACCAATCAAAAAGCTGGGGGGCGTGTAATGACTTGCCGTCCAGCTTCCTGATTGGCCACATTCACGACCAATCAGGAAGCTAGACGGTGTGTCATTATACGCTGCCAGGCACCCTGATTGAGTGAGGGCGAATGGAGCCAGCTTCCCGGCCAATCACAAAGCTGTGCACCATGTAATGACTTGCTGCCCGGCTTCCCGATACCGGAAGCTCAGGTATCGGAGCATTTGGATGAAATATAAAAAACCCAACAGCGCTAACAGTACGAGTACTCGCCCAAATACTCGGCATCAGCACGAAGTGCATCCCTACTTTTAGGTACCAAGGGATAATAATTTTGGTACTTCAAATAATTTATTTTGCACGACATACAGTAGATAAAACTGTAATGGAAAGCGATGTGTATTTCCAAAAGCAAACACAATCAGAACTTAAAAGTAAAATACAGTGCCCTAAATCCTTAAATGCAAATAGTTATGTAAAAAAATACAGTCCTTAAGGGCCACAGTTTTATTTTTGCCTTCATTTCAGATTATTTAACAGGGAATTAGAAAAAAAAAAATGCTAAGTCAATTTTTATAAGATAAACGATCATGTCAACATCACAATGTTATATAAAGCTTAATGTGGCAACTCCATGTCCTTCCTGGATTTATTCTGATCTTAATGGAAGTGTAAATGTCATAAGTAACTCGACTAGCCCTCCTTTCAGCTTAAATGAATCATGTTACAGAATCACTGCCAATCTGTGGACACCTCTATGTTAAACTTATATAGGTCATATTTCACAAAAAGAGCAATAAGTACATACCTATTGCAGTAATAGACGGCATTAGCTGGGTTATGCTCAATAGCTTTGGTGTAGTAGGAGACAGCACTTTCAAAGTTTTCCAACTTCATTTGTTCATTACCTTAAAAAGTGTGATGCAGACATTTTAAATTGTGAAAATACAAAAAGTACACTTGATGAATGATACCTTTTCCACACAAATACGTCTGCAATTTATTTATTGAAAACAGCTATTGTTGCCCCATAGTGGTAAATCAGATTTTTCAAAATTACATTTTTGTGTTGTAATGCAACAGAGAAGTACAAAATAAAGAAGGTGCTTGGACGCTAGGAGATGGTAATGGTTGTTCTTTAAAGCGGAAAAAAATAAATAATTGCTGACCAGCAGGCTTTCTATGGCAGAAGAGTTTGTGTAATCTCTTCTGCCATAAAATCTTCTTGCTGCATGTAAGCAATTTGTTTTTCCTGAAAAAGCAGTGCATGCGCAGCTAAGCACACATACTTGGAATGCTGAAATTAAGTAACCCCTGTGCTCATGCATGAGAGTTACTTCATTAGGAACCAGTTAATCAAGTGACTGAACATTCGAAACCTAGAAGACCGGGGCGAAGATGAAAATGCCTGTGAGGAGCATCGCAATGCTGGAAGGGATCACTTTGGCTCGCAAGATTGACAATGTGCTAATATGCTGTGTATACTAGGACATTGTGAATAAAAGCTCCAGTGAGCTTATTTTTTTGTTTTTAGCTCACTTTATTCCACTTTAAGGTGGAACTTGAACCAAGGAAAAGAAATTGCCAGCAGGAAGGCATTTCATTTGAGAAAAGACATTGCATCACAGAAGATACTGTCTTCTAACCTGCCTTCTAGCAAAAATCCTTAGATTGTACACTGAGCTGCGTATGCAATTGCGGGATGCCTTGACGTGAATTATTTAACTTTTCTGTACATGTGCAGGAGTTTATTTTATCCATGTACAGCCAAATCAAGGTGGTCAAAAGGTGCTAAACACACAAAAAAGAAGGTCAGGTAGAGATTTCGTAGCTGACATCTTAACACTGGAGCAGAGGCAATTTTGGTTTCACATTAACATATACCCACAGGCACGACCTTTTTTTTTTTTTAGTGCCTACATGCAAAACTAAATTACCTCTTCATTATACATTTGTGATAATAGCAAAAGTTGCCATTTTGCATTTAAATATATTTTAGATTTGGTGGCATCGTTAGTTTCTTTTTCAGGTTTTTTTTGTCCCTTTGACCACATGGCGGCGGAATGCACCCTAACTCGCCATGACCTGGATAAAATCCGCACGCGCCTCACCACTGCTGAGACGAGTGTGTCGCAGGTGGAGGATGAAGTGCAGGGACATACCGCCACGCTTACGGATTTGCAACATACCGTGCGGGCGCTGGCTGCAAAAGTGGATGACGCTGAAAACCGCATGCGGTGGAATAATGTGCGCATTGTGGGAATCCCGGAGGGCGAGGAGGGTACAGATGCGGTTCAGTTTGCTGAACAACTGTTCAAACGTGTTCTGGCTATGTACACATTGCCCCCTACGTTTCTGGTGGAGCGGGCGCACAGGGTGCCCACGGGCAGAGCCCCGCCGGGGGCCCCCCCGCGTCCCTTCTTGGCCCGTCTCCTGAATTACAGAGACCGAGACAGGATCCTGGCTGCAGCTCGTAAGTCTCCTGAAGTGTGCTGTGGGAATGCACAACTCCGGTTCTTCCCTGATTTTTCTGCAGAGATCCAGAAACGCAGGAGGTCGTTCGTGGACGTAAGACGCAGGCTCCGGGAGAAGGGAATACAGTATGGCATGTTCTATCCGAGCAAACTTCGTATCCAACATGCAGGCAAGGCTCACTTCTTCGACACCCCGACGCAGGCGGGAGACTGGCTGGATGCGTTGCGATAGAGGAGCTCCTTCTGGTATGGCTCACTTGCCCGGTCCACCCATCACACCTACCTCTGTGACTGTCCGGTAAGCCCAATATGCTTTTCTACATGTCAGTAGTCCATTACGTGGGGACCGGGGAGTGCTGCTGCAACACTCGAGCATTCTAATGGTCACCTCGTCAAGGCCCAGAAGTTGCCATACACGTTATGCGGTTGGCCTAGCTTCCATAAGGAGGCAACGAGTTCTTCACTACACTTGGAACTGGCTGTTTTTTAGTTTAGCCCGCCACCTTTTTTCTTTTTGGTAGTTTTGGGGTGTTTTTTATCCCCATACTGGGACACTTCTAACTGGGGGTGCTCTGACAATTGGTTGGGAGTTTGGGTCTAAGCTTCTAGAGGGTGTTATAGTTTGTTGTTGTTAGTCTATTAGAAAGCAAGGGAGTTCTTAATGTTGGTTATGGGATTGTTTGTTACAGGGAGGGTGTGCCAGTTTCGTGCTCTGGGAGGCGGGAGGGTGTTCTCTTTGATATGTATACTAAGCCTGAGGTGTCCATTCAGCTATCCTGGGCCACACATGTACAAGTGGTTTTGCTATGGGGGATCGTATTGATATTATGTCATGGAATGTGAGGGGTCTCAATGACAAGTTCAAGCGTTCTATGATTCTGAATTATCTGAAACTGCAACGCCCGCATATTATTCTCCTACAAGAAACTCATCTGACGGGTAGCAAGGTTTTGTCATTGAGACGCCCATGGCTTCCTAAAACGTACCATGCCACTTACTCGGTGTATGCCAGGGGTGTATCGATTCTGGTTAGCAGGTCCCTTCCATGCTCGGTCTCACATACCATCAGTGAGCCTGGGGGTAGGTTTATTATTTTAAGCCTCACCATTAATGCCCTACAGGTTGCTGTGGTTAATGTATATGTTCACCCCCATTCCAGGTGCAAATCCTCTATACTGTATTTTAAAAATTGGCGGCCTTCCTTCCGTTGCCGGTCCTCATTGCAGGTGACTTTAACAACATACTGGACGCTTCCCTGGACTCCTCCAATGTGGCCAGACCGGCTGGATTGGAACTCCCCCTTCAATGCCGAATTACTTACCTGGGGGTTACCATCACTGCAGATGTGGGCGATTATTATAAACTAAATGTGCTTCCCTTACTTTCGACCACTAAACGCAGGCTCGAAGCGTGGATGCACCTACCACTGACTCTCATTGGTCGCACCAATCTGATCAAAATGAAGGTGCTCCCTGTTTTGCTGTACTTCTTGCGCAGTACCCCTACATGTATCCCTAATGCCTTTTTTAGGCAGATGCATGGACTCTTCTCCACCTTTGTATGGAACTCCAGGACTCCACAGATGAGGCTTAGCCTTCTCCAGGAGCCATGGACCCAGGGGGGCCTAGCTCTGCCTAACCATAAGAAGTATTACCAGGCGGGGCAGATGGTGGCAGCTCACCGTTGGCTGACTGCGGATGAGGGGGATGCTGCGGTGGTAACGGAGGCAGCATTGATGGGGTCCTACGCCGCCCTCTCGGGATTGGTCTATAGGGGGGCGGGGGCGCCCTACCCCCTGACAGCCCCTATGAAAACGACACTTAGCGCCTGGACTGATGTATGTGGGTCCCTCTACCCTGGCACTACAAACATGTCACCGCATGCCCCTCTGTGGAATAATCCAGCATTGAGCCATTTTATGTCTATCACAGACTTTCACATCTGGCCAGAAAAGGGTATTAGGACATTGGGGGACTTGACTTTGGCCGGTTCACTTGCCTCCTTTGCAGAACTACGGGAGAAGTATGGTCTTCCTAATCGCTACCTGTTTCGATACCTCCAGCTGCGTCATGCCTTTCAGGCGCAGATGGGGGGGCAGCACTGCTCCCTCACGGTTACGCCCCTTGAGTCCGCGCTCAGGCGCGTAGGTCTCCGAAAACCATTGTCAACTGTGTACCAGGCCCTGTCGGGTACGGCAGGGGTCCATAGACTCCCATGCAAGGCGAAATGGGTATTGGACGAGCCGGATCTTTCCGACGATGCCTGGGAGGAGGTCTGGGACTACCCCTTCTCTCACTTGGTGTCGATTAGGGACCGGCTCGTGCAATTTAAAATACTGCACAGAGTTTATTACACGCCTGCAAGACTGGCAAAGATCTACCGAGATGCCTCCTTCTCCTGCTGGCGCTGCTCGGCACAGCCGGCTGACTTTCGACATATTTTCTGGGACTGTCCGGGGACTGCTAGATACTGGCAATTGGTCACAGAATTTATCTCGCAGGTTGTTGCACTTCCTGTACCACAAACCATCTCGGTGTGGTTGCTGGGGCTTACTGAACAGGTTGCCCCTGCCACTACCATCCGCATAATGACTGGGGTACTACTATTCTATGCTAGAAAGTTAGTGGTCCTGCATTGGAAATGGAAAGACCCTCCGACTCTGGCAGAATGGAGGGGCATTGTTGATGCGTCCCTGCATCTCTACAAAGCGACCTATATTAGCAGAGGATGCCCGCGGAAGTTTGATAAGGTGTGGGGTGGTTGGATTGCCTTAACCTGATATGGGTAGGAGCGGGGGCTGGACTTACATAGGAAAATTGAAGGGCCACTGGAGGGGATGGGGGTTGCCATGTTTTTATCAACCTCTTTCTCAAAATCGATAATCCCACCATCTACTGATTGACTTATGCATGTGTAGGCGGTGGTGTTGAGGAGCAGCTGCTACGGGATGCCCTGTAGGCACACGCCTGACTGAGTTCCGACAGTTTAAGGGCCCGGCAGCGATCATTACATGGACAAGGTTGGACGCTAGGGCATTCCATTCAATTTTATATTGTGTTGTGGGAATATGCTCAGCCCCGGGGCTGGAGGTGGCACACGTTCTCTTGGGATGGGGAGGGGTGTTATGTATGTTTTGTAATTCATTCCTTCCGCAAGGAAGTGCAGGTGGAGTATGTGTAGGTTGTACCTGTTAGTAACCAAGTATGCGCCCCTACTGTTGTAGGAGGAATGTTGTAATGTATTTGCATGCAAAAATTGAATAAACAGAATTTTTCAAAAAAAAAAAAATGCATTAACAGCTAATCACACGTTTATATGTTAACACTTAATTACAGTAATACCTTGGTTTACAAGTAACTTGGTTTGAGAGCGTTTTGCAAGACAAGCAAACATTTCTGAAACATTTTGCTTTGATATACAAGCAAATGTCTTGCAAGAAGAGCAAAATTTTGTAGAAAAGCACCACCTGAATAAGGCTGTAGCAGTGCGAGCGATGAGTCTGTTTAACGACAACGCAATGTCACATTGGATAGATTCCTTGTTAAGGTTTCACGAAATGAAAAAGATTCCATTGAGTCAAGAGATAGCAGTGATTCCGTTAGTGATAGTGAAAGTCGTCCTACGCAATAATCCTCCTCCCTCTTGTCCCTCTCACACCGGCCACAAAAGGTACCGGCAATTGGTTTATTTTTCTTTATATATTTTATACGTTATTATATTACAGTACAGTATTGTAATCATTTTATATGAATATTTTTGGGATGTGGAACGAATCATCTGAATTTCCATTATTTCCTATGGGGAAATTCGCTTTGATATACAAGCGCTTTGGATTACAAGCATGCTTCCGGAACGAATTATGCTCGTAAACCAAGGTATTACTGTACTTAAATTTGCACTAAAACCCGGGGCACTGTTGATCAGATTTGGCTAGTATTCTTAAAGGTAAACTCCAGGCACATATGACACCAATTAAAGGAGCACTGTCTTAAGTGTCTCCTCCTTGACTACAGGGGATCAATCCTCTTCCGAAGCTCTGCCTTGCTCCCTTCTAGAATACCAAAAAATAAAAAAACTCTTTGAGACTAAGCATCAGCCTGGGGAATCAGCCTATGGTATTCTCAGTGGATCCAAACAAGAAGCACCAGCACATCTTAAAAGATGTGCGTTACACCATTGGTAATCAAAGAGGAGTATCCCAGAAAAAAAAAATATATATAAATATGGAGGGATGAGCAATGTTATATCCTCAGAAGGCTGAACGGAACAAAAATACTTGCATACATGGGATAGCTTTTGAAAGTAATTATTTCCCCTTTTACCAACCTTAGGTTCACTGAACTCCTCAAACTTGCACTACATGATTATCAACAAGAAGGGAGGCATTTACCTCATAAGCATCTGACCAATATGAAATTAACAAAACAAAAAAGGAAGTGACTGTTGATGTGCAGGAGCACAAGGCTGAGGCAGTACTGATGAGGTCTCTTTTTAAAAAGTGTTCTGAAGTTTGTGCTTTCTATAAATTTTGGGGGATGGATCCACCAACGTATGTCCTGGAAGATGACTGTGGTTTTCACCCACCACACCCTTGACTTTACATTCCCAGTGGAAAGAACTCCAAGAACCTGAAAAAACTGATTTTCTATAAAAATCTTATGCTAGTTTTTCAACACTGAAGGCATTCACTTTGGGTTCCCTAATGCATCTGAACACAAAATAAAGGTTTTATATTGGTGACATTTGCCAATCCTTTGGTCTACGTTAAATACATACTATGGAATATGGGACATTTAAAAAAATTTAATAAAAAAATCAGCTATTTTTCAAAAACCTGTGTATAACAGTTTTACCTTCTGTTTTCAGTCTTTCGGCTTCTGTTATTTCCTCTTCTGATGGTGAATGAAGATCTGAAGTTACTTTTGGAACATCCTAAAAAATTATTGTGATGTTTTATGCTTTAGTCAAATTTTAAACAGGACAATATTATCTATGTACTGTACTTGCAACTGGAGCTTATATACACTTTTGCACAAGTATATTTCCTACAAACTGAAAATGTACAGTGCTTACAATGCTTACGTGCACATGTTCCAAAGCCTAACTATGACATGAGCATTACAAGTCATAAGGTTAGCAGATCTTTCATGAAGTTTCAGATACATTTCTTCATTATTAAAATCATGTAAAGTAAAGCTGAAGCTATAAAGCAAGCACTCTAAAAGTGCATGTGCTTACCTTAACTGCACTCCCGTACGGATCAATTTGTTTCTAGACTCTTCCTTTGCAATTGCTGAATTTCTAAAGATCTGTTTGTACAAGGTTAGGCATGTCTATCTCCAATATGACAGCACCATAGCCTGGCAATTGGCTCCTTAAGTACCCAATAATTAACTCATGACTGTACGCATGTGACCCAAACTCAGAAGTACAATGCTTTTCTGGGGGTGCCTGCTATACAGCTTTACATATGTAAACTGTCTTTATCCCTGGAAAGCTACACCATGCCTGTATGGACTCCTTAAGATACACAAAGAAGGAACCCTTTTAAGATGGATTGTCAGCAGCATCAACTCTGTGATATAACATTGCCAAGTATTGGCTACTAGACTATCACTCTTATTTGGAACTAGTCAAAAAGATGGGTGGACAAAAACACAGGGCATAATATTGTCATCCCATATGTACCTGGAGTATCCACGTGACATTGCATCCCTGTGTCTTTCAAGACCAGCAAAAAACAGACAGGAGCTTGCACATCCAGAATCACAAAAAATTAAACGTGAAGTAACATGGTATATGCAATGCAGTGTAGTGAGGAATGCAACATTTGGGAAGACGAAACAATCCCTGAACAGACAAATAGATTACATTAATAGATTAACATGGAGGGGGTGAAGACTCAGCAGTTTTCCAACACCTAAGGGAAAAGGGACATTCTTTTAAAAGGACAGTGAGGCGCATATTTTGGATAGAGGGGACAAGTGGTTCATTGGCCATCTATATAAAATAGACAAGCTTTTTACACCACTTGTCTTCCACATATAATGCTATTTTAACATGACTACGCCTGTGATTTGGCAACAATTTACACCTCAGCCATGTAAACCTGAGTAACAACACATATGCAGACTTCCTGGCACTAGCTACATGGTTAGAATTTCTTCCGTTTACATTTTCCAAAAGTGATTTGGAAAACCTATGAAACATTATAGAACAAGTCCAGTTTATTTGAATTATAGGAAGCAACTTCATTCATTTAATTATTAGTTTATTCACATATTAGTTTATTCACATTTCCATAGGTATAAACAAGGGTTTAATTTATTAAAATAAACTAGTATAACTGTTTATATACCTAACTAATTCCCTAATTTCACTGCTGATAAACCAATAACTGTATTCATCCATATTCAGCCACAATTTCCACCTGCCAAAGATTGTACATCAATACCAAAAATTGCAGCTCTTATTTGA